ACATATACTTTGAAGGAAATGATGGGGCACAGGGTTTTTTGAGGCGATGAGTTCGAATCTGAGGCCCATTCGTCTTGAAATCTGATTGGTTGTTTGGAAACCAATAGGAATTCAGCTCTTAGGAAAATAGAGCCAAACACATATACTTTGAAAGAAATGATGGGGCACAGGGTGTTTTGAGGCGATGAGTTCGAATCTGAGGTCCATTCGCCTCGAAATCTGATTGGTTGTTTGGAAACCAATAGGAATTCAGCTCTTAGGAAAACAGACCCAAATTTTGATACTTGGAAGGAAATCATGAGGCGCAGGGTTTTCGAGGACGGTGAGTTCGAATCTGGGGTACATTTGGCTCTAAATCTGATTGGTTGGCCGAAAACCAATAGGAATTTAGCTCTTGAGAAAACGGGCCAAAACTCTTATACCTCCAAGAAAATGATGGGACACGGGGATGTAGAGATTGTGAGCTCAACTCTGAGGTCCATTTGCCTCGAAACCTGAGTGGTTGTTTGGAAACTAATAGGACTTCAGTACTTAAGAAAATAGACCAGAACACTTATACTTTGAAGGAATTGATGGATCAGGGGGTTTTTCGAAATGGTGAGTTCGAATGTGAGGTCTATTTGCCTTGAAATCTAATGAGTTGTTTGGAAACCAATAGGAATTGGGCTACTAAGAAACCTAGCTAATCAATCTTTGGTCGTTAGGAGAAAAGTCAGGTAGGGACTTTAGAGGCAATGAGTTCGATTCAAGGATCTAAGCACTGAATGTGGGTATAGGGTATGGAAGCGAGTGTCTTCTTCTGTTTTTATAAATAACAATGTTTGTCTGTCTGCTGTTTGTGCATTTGATTTCCGTAATAACTAGCGCCATCAAGATTTCCATGATATACTCTTTAGTGGAGAGAAAAATTGAGAGTAGATTGGCGCGACAGGCAAGGAAAGGTAGGTAATCGAATGTAATGTCACCCAGGTTGTGAAAATTGGAAATTCTCTAATCTCTATCTCTAATGTACGATAAGAAAAATAATGTTGACAGGCTGCCCAAAGAGTGAGCATGTATTCGTACCATGAATATTCATGGTTCTTACAGATATACCGTTTGAATTCAAGCGTCTTCAATTTGCTGCATGTCTTTCCTTCGCGATGTCTATCGACAAGGCTCAAGAGTAATTACTTAAGGTGGTTGGCATTAATCTAGAGAGCCCTTGCCTTTTTCATGGCCAACTTAACGTAGCATGCCGAGGAGTTGGAACTGGGAAGAGTTTGTTTATTTTGGCCCCTGTTGCGAAAATCGAGAAGGTTCTGTATCAAAAAGCGTTGCAGTCGAAGTTGTATTTCTGTAAACGGTCTTTTGTAATAAAAGAAGTCGATCAAACAAAAAGAACACTGAAAAGGATAGAATTTTTTTTTTAAATTAAAAATGGGGAAAACATCAGTTGAAAAGGGAAAGTGATCTGAACATATTTTGCGATATCGAATTCCAATAATTGATAGGACATCATAGTGACGTCTTTTTCTAATATGTCAAGTATATATTATAAAATTATCATGACTACCATCGGGTATCTCCGCTAGTCTTATATATATATAAAGAAGAATGTTTGTCTGTTCGCTATGCATTTGAAGACCGGTCGAGCAAATGCTATGAAACTTTCCAGAAATGGTCTTTACACCCAGGGGAAGGTCGACATGTATTTTTTTCCGAAAAAAAAACGAATCCTACGCATGCTACAGGCGATCTATGAAACCGACCAATAGGGTTGCAGCATTCCAAAAAATTAAAATAGTTGATAGCGAAGGCGGTCGAAGGCCGTCTGAGCGCTCATATACAACACTTCACATGTTCCATCTATCTATGCCAATCCTGTGCTTGCTACAGGCA